TATCTCAATGGGTCTTTGAGGTCAAAATCATTTTCATAGTTATGCTAAGATGTTATTTGTCTTTTTCATTCTCATTCTCTCATGAATATGCAGTGGAGTGTTCGAGTTTGTGGATGTGGGGTAATGTAACAAGTTGAGTGCAGAAGCAGATGTGAAAACCCAGCTGTGTTCCATTAAGCCAGACATTAAAGAGATTTGCAAAAATGTGAACAATTCTGCTTGTCTCATGAAATTTTTCTGGTTTGGAAATATTCTTATTTTTCATAAAATATGTATTTATGTTAATTTCATTGTCTTTTGGAATCAGCTTATTATTATAGCAATGATTTGGGTTAAATGTTCATGTAACAGAAATTTTCTATTTCTTATTATGTGATAATAATGTGATCAGTAAAATTAATTTTATGATGAAAAGTAATGGGTTTATTATTTATAAATATTTTTTAAATCTCTATTTTAACTTCTAAATATAACCCCCACACACAAAGGTCTTTGGGGCTCTTACTCTTTATGAGTTAAAGGAATCCTGAGAATAAAAAAGGTGGAGAATTGCTGCACTAAACTGACCATGACCCTCAAAAAAATTGCTGCCCATAGTTTGAAAAACACTGGTATAACCTTTTTTTTTTTTTTCTTGAGACAGAGTCTTGCTCTGTTGCCCGGACTAGAGTGCCGTGGCGTCAGCCGAGCTCACAGCTACCTCAAACTCCTGGGCTCAAGCGATCCTTCTGCCTCAGCCTCCCAAGTAGCTGGGACTACAGGCATGCGCCACCATGCCCGACTAATTTTTTCTATATATACATATTTTTTTAGTTGTCCAGATCATTTCTTTCTATTTTTTTAGTAGAGACGGGGTCTCACTCTTACTCAGGCTGGTCTCAAACTCCTGACCTTGAGCGATCCACCCACCTCGGCCTCCCAGAGTGCTAGGATTACAGGCGTAAGCCACCGCGCCCGGCCCCTGGTATAACCTTTTATGAGTTGTGAGCACAACGTGGTTGAGAAACAGGACGAAAAGTTAATTTGAGGTTTAACATCTAGTGCAGTACCAGAGTTAAGGTTCTATTCTGACCTGTTTTCAAGTCTCCTTAGGCCCATTGCTGGTCCTAGGGGAGACGGGAATACTACCGATGTGAGCAGGAGTCTCACCAGGAAGGGGACAGAACTGCTCTGATAGTTGCTGGCTTTCTCTTGTGAAGTGGATAGCTACTGCCCCGCTTGACCACAAGCTCAGTTAAGTCCAATCACGTAAGGCAGTCATTCTCGACCCTGGTGGCATATTATGAGTGTCTGGAAGACAATAAAGAATTAACCCTGCCTAGGCCCCACTCCAGACCAGTGAATCAACATTTCCAGAGGTGGGCATAGATGTTGTTTTTTTTCCCTTTTTATTTTTATTTATTATTTATTTTTGAGATTAATCGTAATAATTTATTTAACCCAATATATCCAAAATATTATTTCAATGTGATCAATATAGTATTATCAAAGTTTTTTTGGTACTAAATTTTTCAAAGCCAATCTGTATTTTAAGCTTCCAGCACATCCCAATTCAAACCAGCCTATTCCACGTAGCCAGTGGCTGCCTCATTGAAGTTCACCTCTGAGGGTTCTGACTCTAATGACCTTAGGGAGGTGAAGGGCCTGAATCCACTTTTTCTGCCGGAGGGTAGGGAACACTCTCTTCCTGCCAAAATCTATTCAAGGCCCAAGGGTGGGAGAGATGGTGCCCAGAGAGAGCGAGCAGGGAGCTACAAGAAGGAAGTGTCCACAGGTAGACCGCTGTTTCCCACCTGCTACTTGGAAGGGGCTCATCCCCCTTCCAAAGATCAGACAGTGAACAATGGACAGGGTGGCCCAGGAAAAGGAAATACATGTCTTTATATTTGTCCACAGGGCCTTGACCTCCAGAATGTAGATGTGGAGCAAATAGATTAAAGGAAAATTTATTTTGCAATTTGGCCTTGGTTCTAATTGTCAGGCTGTGGTTGTCTGTTTCCTCCCGTGGTGTGGGGAACTATCTGATTTTAAGCACCAATCACAGGTGTACATGTATACATGTATTTCTGTATAACTCAACACCATCTGACAAGAGATCCAACTTTAAATATGGGGAAAATAAAATCAGTATGCATGGTACCCTCTGTTTGCCAGTTAGCTAATAATCAACCTGTCATTTAATCCTGGCATTCTATCTGCAGTGGGTGTACATATTAGTTAGCTACTGCTGCTTATTAGCTTGTGATTGAGCAGGTCAGCAATTTAGTCTGTGCTCAGCTGGGCCATTTTCTGGTCTTTGCTGGACTCCTTCAGGCATGTGTGATCAGCTGCTGGTTGACTAGGCAGCTGTGCTTCTGTGGGTGAGCTGGCTGTCGACTGAGCACTTTGGTTGTCCCTCCCATGGTATCTCATCCTCCAACAAGTTAACATTGCCTTGTTCTCATGGGGATGGTAGAGTTCATTTCCTGATTTCTGGGGTGTCCTGGTGTCCTCCCTATGAATTTCCCAATGCCTGCTGGTCACAGGGTGACAGAGGCTGTGGCAGAGCCACCCGGACCTCCTGGAGCAAAGGAGAAGGAGCTTAAGATGGACCTCAGCAGCGGACATGTGGGCAAGAGAGAGAAAGGCCCAGCCAGATCCCAGAGGCCGCACCTTCCTTTCCTGTTGCATGCCTGATTTTTTTTTTCCCTTTTTAATTGAGGTATAACTTATATCGAGATCACAAATCTTAATAAAATAGCTCCATGATATTTTAAAAACATGTATTATACCCATGTAACCACCATCCAGATCAAGATGTAGGGCATTTTCAACTATCAGCAGGCTCCTTCGTGCCTCCTAGTTAATATCTTGCTCCAAAGGTAACCATTCTTCTAATACTTACCACCATTCGTTAATTTTTCCTAATTGTGAACTTCATATAAATAGAATCACATAGTATACATTTCTTTATGTGTCACTTTTGCCCAGCATTATGTCTGTGATATTCATTCACGTTGTTAGCTATAGCGGTAATTCATTCTTGTTTGCGTGGCCGTGCAAACAGACCACAATTTATTTATTTACCATTCTATACTTTATAGAATTGGCTGGTTCCTTTAAACTGCTCTTAAGTGTGGTGACATGCTCTTACCATGAAATAACATAGGACAGGGGACAAACTAGGGGATAAGAAGAGCATATTTATGTCACCCATCAAGTCACCCAGCATGACTTACTGGGTAAGGATATGGTTATTGAAATAAAAGTCCTGGTTTTCCCAATTACTTAAAATTATTAGTTTTCTTTTCCGTTTTATTTTTGCAGAAGGTATAGTTAAATTTGCATAAGTTAGAATTTTTGACTTAACTTCTGTGTGGAAATAAATGCACATGTACATATCCCAACGAAAAAGACCAGCCAGATTAGTATAGAGATTTAGGGTACCAAAAGTTAGTGCTAAATAAATTTAGGTTTGGTCTGATTGGCTAACTTTGAGTTATATATGATTTAAAAAAACTTGTATCGGCCAGGCGTGGCGGCTCACGCCTGTAATCCTAGCACTCTGGGAGGCCGAAGCGGGTGGATCGCTCAAGGTCAGGAGTTCGAGACCAGCCTGAGCAAGAGCGAGACCCTGTCTCTACTAAAAAAAATAGAGAGAAATGATCTGGACAACTAAAAATATATATATATAGAAAAAATTAGCCAAGCATGGTGGCGCATGCCTGTAGTCCCAGCTACTCGGGAGGTGGAGGCAGAAGGACTGCTTGAGCCCAGGAGATTGAGGTTGCTGTGAGCTAGGCTGACGCCACGGCACTCACTCTAGCCCGGGCAACAAAGCGAGACTCTGTCTCCAAAAAAAAAAAAAAAAAGAAACATCCAGATATTAATAATGCAGTACCATTCAACCTAACTCATACCAAATCCTGCAGTTCCCTCAACTAAACTTCCCCAAATATTGTCCAATTCGATAAAAGGCATAACTATCTACCTAGTTCTTTAATCCAGAACAATCTTGGAATGACCCTTGATCACAATTTCTCTCAGTCAGCCCTTCCTATCCTGTACGGTCAGACCATACCCCAGTCGGCTGTCTCCAACACGTACTACAAAACCATCCACTCCTCAACTCCACCACCACTCTGGTCTAAGCAGCAATCATTTCTTGCCTGGATTAATGCAACAGCTTTCTAATGGTCCCCTACTTCCATACCCTTGCCCCATTCCCAACTCCCCTTCCAAATCTATTCTCCATCTCCCAGTCAGTGACTTTTTAAGAACATAAATTAGGCCACGCCTCTCCCTTGCTTAAACACCCCCAGTAGCTTGGTACCTGAAGTGCCCCAAACTCATCACACTTAAACTTAAGTCCAAACTTCCTACACTGGCCTACGAAAGCCTTCATGATTCCGGCTCATCACAGACCACATCCTCCCATGTTCAGAATGCTCTAGGCTCACTGCTAGTCTTCCCTCTGTTCTTAGGACATAGCTCCTTCTCACCTTGCCGTCTCTGCCGTTTCATACTGAGAAGCTCACCCTGCCCCTCCCATCTTTCTGTGTATGACTGGCTCCTCTTTTTGCTATTCAAATCCCAATCCCAACTGCCTCTCTCTGAGAGGCCCTCCTTGACCACCCAATCTAAAGTAATCACCCCTTTGCTTTCTAGAATGTCATGCTATCTTAGTTCTCTGCATAATACTTATTACAAATAATATTTTATTTGCTTAGTCTGTGTCAACCTGCCTCTAAAACATAAGCTTTTTGGGAGAGTCTTACTATTACTACATCTCCAGGGCCTATAGAAACACCTGGTACCTAGGGAATACTCAATAAATGTCTTACACATGACTCTGATGGCACAAATAATAAATGTACCCTTCCCCCAAATGTAAGAGTTTGAATTCTGGATGCCTCAGGACAAACAGGAGGAAGGACACAATCATCCTTTGCAAATAACAACATAAATGCCTCTTGAGAGGAACTTCTTGATTATACAGACGCTTATTTTTTAAAGTCTGGTATATGGTAATGTAGTATTTTATTTATTCTGTCCATTAATAATACTTTAGAACACTTCCAATATTAATTGAACTTAATCTAATAGAAGACCAACTTACTTTTTTTTACATCTCAATACTGGGTATTAGTAAGAGAGATGCTCAAAATAATTATGGTCAAAATTATGTTAAACACTTATAAGCAAATGCTTGGTGTTAACATGTCTACATACAATTCAGCTTTTAGTGTAAGGGTCTTTGGCTGCAAGAAAGAACATTTGGTTTACTTCACTAATAGGAATATCTCTTAATGCTGGAATGGCCTCTTCTTGGTATTTCTTATGCTGTTGATTTTTAGCATAATTATCTGCAAGAGAAGAACAAAAAGCTCTGTTAACCCAAGCAATTTCTTCTATAGTCTCTGTGGCCAAGGAAGACCCACCACATAGTTTATTAAGCTGATGTTTTGTTAACGACAAATAACCACGTTTAACATAATTAAGTAATGTCTTAAATCTTCTCTTTAGAAGAAATGTCCCCATTAAAATAAAAATGTAATCAACAAAGTAGTTTTCTTATCTCTGACTTGGAAAGAAATTAATATTTCATTCAACTGTACAATGGTGGTTAAGTCCCATCTGCACATTTCCCACAGTGACAGAATTATACCTAGGCCTTGAAAATGTATTTATATCAACACTGCAAAACTATTAAGTCATTTGGTGCAAATATTCATACAAACTTAACAATTTCCCCTCTTTGCACAAATTGTCTATTTGCTGCACTTCCAGTCAAGAATGCAGGGTATATAGGTTATTAGGGTTGAAATTTAAAAATACTATAATTGATTTTCCAAATACATTATATGAGTTGATGAATAAAGGTTTGGAATAGTTGAAAAATCATACCAGGGAACTTAAAAAATACTTTTCTTCCTAGAATCTAAGCAAGCTCAGGAATCCTAATTTATCTTCATCTTTAGACTTGAAATGAAAAGACTTAAAAAAAATAAAACTACAAAAACATGTTGTGACTCTTCTATCCACATGATTGGAATAAGGTGTCCATAGTGATCCTGAGGATACACACCCTCAAATCCCTCCTCCTGAACAAGGTCTGCATGTACCTTTTGCCATCCCTTTATCAACAGTGCCTATTTAGGACAAAAGAAGTTTCTCTCAGGCAAAGCTGCTGAGGAACATAGTATATACACTATAATTTATCAGAATTTATTTCCTCCATGAATATAACTAGTGCATATTCATCAGAACTTATTTTCTTTGTGTAATTATTTCCTTTTGTATAAGCTTTTATTCATTTCTCTAGGTTCTTTTTATTGACCCAATGTGTGTCTTGCAGCCTATTCTTGGTTGCTTTTCTGGCTAAAACTCCTAATACCCCACTCTTCCGTTCCCCCAGCACTTTCCTGTTATTATAAATTCACCTGTGATTGTATGAATGGAGTTGAGTGGACAGGTGCTCATCATGTTGATTCCAAACAAAAGCACATAACCAATTACTACAGTAATAAGGAGATACACAGGTAATGCCACTGCCCAGTATCTGCAAGAGAGAATATTGAAGTACATAACGGACACCTTAAAAGGTTGTAATTCTCAACAGTCACAAAGTTTACATATTTTTTAAACTAAATTTAATTTTTATTAAAGTAATATGTTAATATGTATATAAGAGACAAATTGTTCTACAAGACTTATAATGAAAGGCTGTAGTTCTCCAGCCCACTGTCCCAACCCTGGAGTCTCACTCCCCAGAAAGAAACAATTTAAACATCTGCTTATTCTAGTACTTACCTCTTCATTTCTATGTAACATGTTCATATTATTATTTCTTGATTTTTTTCAATTTCAGGCATTTTCTCTATACTTCCTAACATAGAGATGAGGAATTTACCTCTTCCTTTCCTTTTCTATGCTTACATCACAATTTCTGGTTATATCAGCATTTAAAAAAAATTATTATGACTATATATAACAATGTTTGCAACTGAGAACCTTAGTGTACTATTATTATATGCTTCCTTGTATAACTTTTTGTTTTTTCTGGAATTAATAATTGTTTTTATCTATTTGCTTGGTATGTATGTATGTATCTATCAATACTAGAGCCTCAAATTCTCTAATAGGACTCTATTATGCCTCTCGATACTGTCAAGCACATCAAGTGCTCTACCTTGCCATGTTTTATTGAGTGCATTGTTTCTTTAATAATGTCTTCCTCACTCTTTTCTCTTTCTGGAACTTCTAATAGTTAGATTTTTAGCCCTGTTAAACTTTCCTCTATTTTCTATTTCTCTTTTGTTCTACTTTCTAGAGATTATCTTTGGTTTATCATCCAACCTTTCAATTAAAATTTTAATTTTGGTTATCATGTTTACAATTTAAATATAGCAATTCCCTGAACATTTTCTTTGTATAGCATTCTGTTCTTGTTTCAGAGTTATAATCTTTTGAGAATTTTATGTTATTTTAAAATTTTTTTCTGTTCCTTGAATTATGTCCATTTCCTTCAAGTTTCTTTTCTTTTTGCTTTTGCATCTCAAGTTAGAGGTTTTCCTTCAAAGTCTGGTAACTTAAGGCAGTTCACTCATATTTAAAAATGAAGTGCTAACAAGCTAATTGAAAGTACTGTGTGTATGTGGGCAGGGATGGCCAACTGGTGAGCCTTCCTAATGGGACTGGGCCACTTCACTGGAGTCCTCTAAATGTCAGAAATTACAGATACTTTCTCTTGGGCTGGTCAGCTTCCTCAGGAAGGAACCTCCTATCTTTTTCTGGGAGAACTAGGGTGGTATGAGCCTGGGAGCCCAGTGAGGGAAGGTGTTGGGGGAGGGGTAGACCTTATCATTCAGCCACACAGATTTTCTTTCTCTTTTTTTTTTTTTTTTTTGAGACAGAGTCTCGCTCTGTTGCCTGGGCTAGAGTGCCATGGCGTCAGCCTAGCTCACAGCAACCTCAAACTCCTGGGCTCAAGCGATCCTCCTGCCTCAGCCTCCCGAGTAGCTGGAACTACAGGCATGCGCTACCATGCCCGGCTAATTTTTTCTACATATTTTTTAATTGTCCAGCTAATTTCTTTCTATTTTTAGTAGAGACGGGGTCTCACTCTTGCTCAGGCTGGTCTTGAACTCCTGAGCTCAAACGGTCCTCCCGCCTTGGCCTCCCAGAGTGCTAGGATTACAGGCTCGAGCCACTGCACCCAGCCAGCCACACAGATTGTCATTTACTCCCACACTCAATTAACCCTTGTAGCCTCCAGGCTAGAGACTCTGGCTCAGCCTTTCAGAGGAAGGCAGGGTTGGTCTCCCAGCTTTGAGGGCCAAGGGAGGAAGATTTGAGGTCTAACGCTCTTTAAACATGTTTTCAGTTCAGCCCAGAATTACCATGCTAAAGAGATACCTGGTACCTCCAATATCTGAGCCATTTTGGAGTTTTAGGGCACAAATATTGCTGGCTTCCCTACTTCAGCAATGTGAAAAAAGCATAAACCAAGTCAGTTATCTTTCAGGTATCTCAAACCACTTTCCCAAAATTGATACTTCTTATCTGCTATCCTATTCTTTGCTTCTGTGGGTTTATACCATAAAAAATTTTTTTGAGACAAATGTGTGTTAATTCCACCATTTTTATTAGAGGTATATCAATAATGATCTTTAAAAACCTTTCAATTTCTATATGGCTATTCATGAATTTTAAAAGAATAAACATTTAAAGATTTGAGTAGTTTTAAGGAAAAAAATGATCCTTCAAAACAGCATTAACTGCATCCTGATTTAAGAAATATATTAAACTTACTTTTGAGGCCAATATGTTAAGCCTAAGGAGTTTAGCCAAGATTCAGGAATAAAAGCCCACATGAGATAAAGTACTATAGAAGGGGAAAAAAAAAAAGAGAGAGAGAGAAGTCAGTAAGGCATGCATTCAATCTGCTAAGGTTCATTTAAACAAAAAAGCTTCTTTGAAGCGTCCCAGATTCACTCGGAAATGATTGTTCCTTCCTTTCAGTTCTTCTAGCTTCTTATTTGTACCATTCTTATATTTATCATAATTACCTTATTATTGGCCATTTTTGAACATGTCTTAACTCTCACACTATATTTTAAACAATTCAAGGGCACATATCATGCCTTAGCAACTGCTGTAATCCTTGTATCACCGATCAGTTTGCTTTATGTACAGTAGGTGTTCAATACTTCACCTCCACAGAACTGAAGTAATTACAGACATTTAGTCGCTTAAAGGAGAACTTTTCTACCCTACTTCTGATCCACTACATGTTGAGCTTCTGCCTTATCTCCCAGAGTAGTTTTATTTCCCTCAACCCCAAATCTTTGTTGTTTACTGTTGTCCCTATGTAGTAACAACAGCTAAGCTCTAAGCACTCACTGTGAGTTAAGCACAGTTCCAAGCATTCTATATACATTACTTCACATAATCCTCAAAACAATCCCCTGAGGCATGTGTGTGGTACTTTTTACAGATGAGGAAATGGAATCTTATAAAGGCTGTATCATCTCATCTGTCCAAGGTGAGTGGCAGAGACGATTTTAAACTATTAAATACCCACATTATTGATGAAGGATTAATATTTTTAACAAATATGTATTACCGAACTCTGTATGTTCGGAGTGTGAAAGATGGCTTCTGCTCTCCCTGAGCTTAAAAATCTAGTGGTGAATAGAGAGGAGTAAATTGATATTTTCATTACACTGTGATAAGTGCTAATAAATGAATAATAAAAGATGACACAGAAGCATATTAGAAGAACCTCCTTCCACTCGTAATACTCTTTCTTCTTGATTTCTCTCCATAGTACATGTTACCATCTGAAAGTGTATATGTTTTACTTATTTAATTTGTCCATCGACTATCTCCTCCCTGTAGAATGAAAACTCTATGGAAGCAGGAAATTTTTGGCTGTTTTGCTCCTCCCTGGCTTATAACAGTCCCTGGCACATGGTAAGCACCCAATAAGTAACTGAATTAATTTTTGGTTGTGGGTGTTACGGGATTTAAGTCTTAAAGTCATTGTTTTTATTTATTTATATAGTTTCTGATCGTTGAAACATTTTTGAACAAGGATTTACAAGACAACGATAACAACAGTAGCTAACACTTATTTAGTACTTCTTGTTCCTGTGCATTGTCTTAAGTGCTTTACCTAAATTACCCCAGTTAATCCTCACAACAGTCATAAGAGGCAGCAGGGCGATGTCAGCCAGTGTGTCTGGGTTCAAATTCTAGCTCTATCATTTAGTAGCTTTGCGACTTTAGGCAAGTTACTTACACCCCAGTACTCTCATCTTTAAAATGAAGACAATAATATTACCTATTTGATAAGATTGTTTTATGCATAATAAGCAACAACTATCATCATCAACACCCTTTTAGAGATGAGGACACTGAGGCTCAAAGAAGTTAAGTAAATGGTCCCAGGTCACAAAGGTAATCCATGGAGGAGTCGGAATTTAAACTCGGTCATAACTTCTTCATTTCAGACTCTGCTAGGCAACAGCCTGTTAGGTCCATCTGCAAGCTGTACTGATGATGCAGGTTGATATTTTTCAGTTAGGGTTCAGAAGTACTATCATTCCACCTTTGTGGTTTCCACACAGTTCCAGAAAGTTCTACTGGCGGCACTGGATTTTCTCCCTCATTTGCCTCATAATACCCAAATCCTTTTGGGGAGACTTGGGGCCTGCTGTGTGTCTCGGGACATATTACTGTCTCGGTGAGTGTCTCAGTTTCCTTAACTGTAAAATGTCATATTCAAGAGGTAAAGGGCACATATTTCAATATGGCTTCTCTAGCCTAATTCTCTTCACTTCCCAGCTGTAGTGGAGCCAAACTCACTTCCCAACTCTCTCATGCCTTCATTCAAAGCATTTCCACGTCTTCCCTCCATCCTACTTATTCTTTTCTAATTAGTGTAAGTACCAGGGGGAAAGTCTCCTGGAGAAAGCTAACTCTGACTTTCCAGTCTGATTTCAACGTCTCTGCACTGTGCTCCCTTGCCATCGTCACACTGCGTGTTAACTGCGTATTTACTTCTCTGTCTCATCCACAAGACCACGACCTCCTTAAGGGCAAGGACCAGGTTTATTCATTTTGCGATCGTGCCTAGTACTGTATAAGCATTTGTTTGAGATTAACTCTCTTAGGCTAATGATGGCACACAGAACACTGAACAAAACATGAGTTCCCTTCAGGTTTTGTTAAAACGAGACGTAGGTATAAAGAATCAACAGGTCATGTGTGCACATTCTAAGAACAAATGTATTATTTCCTTGTCACTGAACACCAGAAACAGCCCCTGGCCATCCATCAGGAAAGTACTTACTGAAGCCAAACTGGGAGCTTAAGAAAAGAACAAAGCCATAAATCGCTCTTTCTGGCAACGGCGACGGTGAATTTTCCACCATTTTCCCCTGTGGCTTTAGACACTCTGCGGAAAAGAACACAATCATCCGTCAGTGATTCACTCCCCCTCACCATTGGTCTATTATAACCTCATCGCTTCGCTATGGGTACTGCCTCTGCGGAGCATAAGTGCCATCCCGCGCACAGCCCCCGACACACGCCCGCGTGCACGCGCGCTCGCAAGCACCCCCGCCTCGCGTGCACGCGCGCTCGCAGGCACCCATGCCGGCGCGCGCACACCCCGCAACAGAGAGGAGGGCGGGGTCGGGGGCACAAACGCCTCCAGCTGGGGAAGCTTGGCCTTCCTGCGGGAAGGGAAGGTCAGGGAATAGGCTCGCGCGGCGCCCACGAGAACGCGGGCCTGCTGGGCCGGGCCCTCTCGTGGGGGCTTCTGCTGCTCATTAGAGGCGGGGTGGGGGAGGCCCTCGACCTTGGGTCCTGCTTACTCCCACCCGGGCCCCTCCCGACACCTCGACCACCTTAGCGCTGAGTTCTCTGCGCAAGCTCAGACCAGGCAGCCGCAGCAGGGAAACATTGGAAAAATTGAGCGAAAGGCCGAAGCCCGAAGGCTGCCCCCCCGAGGGCGCAGGCGCACGACGACTCTCGTGAGGCGGGAACGCGCGAGCGCAGGGGCTGGCGAGACCGCTCGGCCCGCGGAGGCGAAGGAGGGGGCGGGCCGGCGCGACTGCGCATGTGCGCTGCCAGCCCACGTGACACGTCTGCCGTCTGCGCCACCGCCCGCTCCCTCCGCGGTCTGGTTGACGTGGAGGGCCGGCGGTGGCGGCTGCGGTGGCGGCCCGCGTCCGAGGCTCGCGGGCGCCGGGCCCCGGTGAGTGCACACCCGGCTCGCGGCAGGGCTCCCGGATGTGTCACCTTGTCCCGCTGCAGCCGAGATGCCCGGGGAGCGGGACCCTCCACACCCCCTCCATGGGTGTGTGGTGAGTGTGGGTGTGTGCGCGTCGCCCCGTGTCCCTCGCCGTGGTGCCTGCTGTGTGTCTGCGTGGGTCGGGGTGTCCGCGCGATGAGTGGGTGTGGTCGCTTTTGTCTGCTCCAGTGGGTATGTCCCCTTTGGCCCTTCGCGAGCGTGGGCCCTCGGGTGCCTTGCAAGGGTGGGAGTAGCCCCTTTGTGTGCGCATCGCCCTGCTGCCCGCGCATCGGCGTCTCGCTCGGTGCGTGGGAGACACCTGTGCTGGGTAGAGGGGCCCCTGCGGATGAGCGCGCGGGCACGCACCCGTGTGTCCTCTCCTAGCCCCCTTTGTGTCGGCGCCCGTTTTTCCCGGTGGCAGCGTGGGCGCTCCTGGCGTCTTCAGGCGGCCCCCCTCTTTGTGTCACTGCCTCTGCCCGTGGGGCGCGCGTCCCCCAGCGCGCGTGGCCGCGTCGCCTGTGAGCGAGACCCCCGCCTGGAGCACCGCCCCCGCGAGTGTGCGTCCGAGTGTGTGCTGCGCATGGGTTTTGTCGAGTGCGTAATAGCTTGTGTGCGGATTTTCGTTCGTGTGTGTTCGTGAATGTTCGTGCACGCCCGGTGCTGCGTTGTGTTCCCTACGTGGGTGCCACCTGTTTTCCTGAGAACTGGCAGCGCAGTCCAGGGCCGGCCCCCGCCCTGAGGAATGGACCAGGGCAGGCGGCTATAACCCCTACGCGCCTCCCTCCCTCGCCCCTCTTCTGAGCATCCACCCTCCCCCGTATGCGAACGAGAGGAGGGAGGACGGTTGCGGGTCTGGCCAGCTGCTCTGCAGTGTTGACGACGTGAGTGTGGCTTGTTGAGCTAGTCTGGGGCCAGAGTAGGGGGCCAAGGACCAAAAATGGAGCCGAGGCGTAGGTGAATTTGGGCTGGTACCAGTGCGGCGTGCCTTTTGCAGAGGCGCCCCGGACGCCAAAAACCCTTCATTTGCAAATTCCTTCCAAAATACAAGCACACGCCAACTGGGCAAATATATTGTAGCTGTCCCTGGCGTTCTTGAAAATACTTAATGGTTCACATTTTATGGCGTTCATATAAATCTCTTTCGATTTTGCCCTACCCTGGCAGGGGAAACAAGGTAGAAATCGTACAGATTTTACTTCTCCTTCCTTGGGAGTAGTTTCCTCATAATTACGGTTCTAGTTACGACATTTTTTATTGCTAGAAATTTTCATTTTATCCTAAGGAAAGTGGGATTTAGTGTAAGGATACATAGGGAAAGAAACTTCAGACCCATTAAGGACCTAATTACTGCTCCTTTTGCTCAAAGGTTCGTGCTTTCTGCTCAAGGGCTGCATTTTGGTGTCTCTTTCTATTCTGCTTAATTTTCTTAATCTTGCCTAATTTTCTTTTTTTTCTTCTAATTTCTGGAATATTTCAGATATAAAATATAGAGGGGGGGTTCTAACCAATGCATGATTCAGAATTTTACAGATTTAATTATTTTGCCAAATTTACTTCAGATCCTCTTTTTTTCAAGCAATAAAATTGCAGATATTGGAGGCACTCAGTTCCTCCCCGTCCTTCCCTAAAGATAGCCACTGTGTTCAGGTTTGTGTATATCATTCCTTTGCATATTTTATACTTTTCATCATGGTGAATCCATAAACAATATATAGTATTGTTTGTTTTTAAACTTCAATGGTATTAAACTATACATGTGTTTTTTGCAACTTGCGTTTTTTTTTGCTCAGCATCACATTTGAGATTTATATATGAATAAATTGAATAATTGTGTTATCTTTGGGTCATTCATTTTAATTGCTGGTATAGAATTGCATTGTATGAATATACCATATTTAATTATACATTCCCTACTGATGGACTTTGAAGTTGTTTCCAGTTTTTGACTCTTAAAAAACAGTCCTACAATAAATATCTTTGTACCTGTCTGCTTGTGCACACATTTGAAAGTTTCTCTAAGAAATACATCTAGTAGTAGATTTGCTGGATAGTAGGTTATTTGCATTTTCAACTTAACCAAATATCACAGAAGCTCTCCAAGTGGTTGTACCAATTTTCACTCCCTGGTATTGAGTGAGAACACCCATTTCCTCACATCCCTGCTAACGTGTTATTTTATCAGACTTTACATTTTTGCCTTCTCTTTACTGACCAACTTTTATGACTTTAGCTTGTTGCTAAATTTGCTTGCAGCCCCCTTGGCTTCTGCCCTAACCCTGTGTCAGCCTATGGGTTTATCTCTCACAGCTAATTGGCTCAGCCTTTATCTCATTTGGTCCTTAAAAGATTAATTCCAATGAACATTTATTATGTACTTAATGTATGTCAGTTCTTGTGGTTAATGTAAAGATAGAATTTCCATGATATGTTATGTGTACCTCCATAGTGGCAGGTGAGGTGATTTAATTAAAAGCATACTTTTTTCATATGATAAATGTCTTAAAAAAATCTTGATTTTTATGTAATACTTGATACATTCAAAATATGTAATAAATATGCATACTGTGAAGCAAAACAATGAAATGAACACCTGTGAATCCACCGTTCAAGAATCAAAATGACCAATACTGAATGTGCTCACCTCCAGAGGTGACTACTATCCAGAATTATGTGTGTTATTCCTTGCTTTTTAAAAATTTTATCAGATATGTATCTATCCCTCAACAATGTATTGTATGGTTTCTGTTGTTGAGTAAAAAAAGAAAAAAATGCTGGGTGTAGTCTTTTGGGACTTGCTTATTTCACTCAATGTTATATTTCTGAGTCACTAATATTGAGTATAGATGTAAGTCATTAATTTTCACCGCTGTGTAATATTCCATGGGTGAATATAACACAGAGATGCATTCTCCTGTTGATGGACATTTTGGTTGTTTCCAGGTTTTGCTGTTATGATGAAGATTCTTGTGTAGTATGCAGTTGTAAGACTTTCTCTAATTTTCACACTGGTGTGTATGACCCCCCAGGGGAGTAATGAAGATTTTCTAAGGAGTGTATGGGGTACAAATGATGTTAATCAATCAGTTTCTAGATTATTAAATTCCACATGTTCTCTTTCCTAAAATTGGTAATGCCTGAGGTCTAGGTAGAGGCCTCCTGGTGGACCTTCCCTTTCACAATAGAGTTTTACATAAGAAAGGCAAACCACAGCCCCACTGGAGTCTTAATAGGGCTTTGCCCCTAGTGGAAAACAAAGGGGTAATTTAAAATACAGTTTATAGTGTTAGGGAGAGCCTCTTAAAATCTGGGCGCCTCCCCATGCATTTCCTCTAGAGATGCATTTTCAAAAATGCCAACGTATATTTTTTGACCAGCTATATGTTAGTAATAAGTATACATTTAAAGGAAGGATATATCAATTTTACTTTAAAATGTTACCATGGTACTCTAGGAATTCATCCTTTACAATTACTTAAACTTATGGTGAAATTTTTTAGATATTATCTTAACATGTGAAGGCAATGTAATTTTTAAAAGCATTTTTGGTGGTTTGTGAGCAAAAAAAGGTTGGAATACTGCCATGGTAAGCTATTTGCTAGATGTGGAATTGCTGGGTCAAGAGTTACGATTGTTTGTTCAGCTTTACAAAATGATGCCTGATTGTTTTCTTAAGTGGTTGTACCAGCTTATACTTTGGCCAGCAGTTTTGTCAATTTATATACTTTGATTAGCAGTGTGTAAGAGTTAACCTACAACCTTTTCAACACTTGTTATTGTTAGACTTCTGAATATTTTTCAGTGGAATGGGTATAAAATGATGCATCATTGTGGTTTTAATATGCATTTTTTGATTATCAGTGAGCTTGAGCATCTTTTATATGTTGACATATCATCTTTATTTCCCTTTTATAAAATACCTGGTCATATCTTTTACCCTTTTTTTTGTTGGGTTGTCTATAAAAACTGATATACTGGTAACACTGGTCTTTCATTGATTACATGCATTGTAAATATCTTCTTCCAGTTTGTGGCTGTCTTTTCACCCTTTATGGTGTATTTTGGTGAACAGAAGTTCTTAATTTAATGTAATTTAATTGGAAAACTTCTTATGAAGACATTCTTCTGTGTTTCTTTTTAGAAGTTTTAAAATGATGCCTTTCACATTTAAGTTCATAATTCATCTGGGCTTAATTTTTGTGTATGGTTTCATTTTTCCTTCCTCTGTGGCTCTAATTATCTCTATACCATGCATTGAAGGCCCTCTGTTCACCAGTGATCTGCTGTGCTATCTCTTTCATATGTTTAGTTTCTGTGCGTGTGGGTCTGTTTCTGGGTTGCCTTTCTGTATCACTTGTCACCTTGTCTGTCTCTGTGTTTTTCATACCACACTGTCTTAATTATTAATGCTATAGTTTTACCGGACATCTTGATAGCTGAGGAGGAGTTGGAGTCTCAGGATCATTGTTCTTGTTTTAAGAATCAGTTTGTTACATGATATGAAAAACCCTTTGGGAATTAATTAGAATTGATTGAAACAGTTTGGGGGAGAATCGAAATCTTTAAGATTTTGAGTCATCCTAAGAATATATGGTATTTCCATTTATGTATTTTTTCAATATAGTTTCATAGATCTTTTTTAATGTTGATTCTCATGTTTCTAAGTTTGTTGTTGCTGATATAAATGGCGTTTATAAACATTCTGTTTTCTGACTTTATTGTTAGTAAATAGAAATTTAATGAGTTTTAAAAATATTAATCTTTAGTCATCTAC